AATCTGGCACTTAGTTTCAAAGAATCTCTGGCACAGATAGAAAAGGAGAAAGTATAAATGAAATTCATATGAAAAAAGACCCGGGGCAGTATTGCAAACTGTTGGCCCACAGATGTGTTTTGTTTGGCTTTTGCAGTGTTTGTGAAAAACACTAAGCCAACATTAAAAATTGGGAAAGGCACATAAAAATCCAGATTTCTGCCTTCTCTTAAAAAATTGACAGATCTGGCAATTCTGGGTCTGCATCCAGACATAACACAATTGGTTAGAATCGACTTATGCCTGTCCCCTTATGACAGAAGATTCAACTCCTTAATGGATGTCTATGGACACTAGCTTGCTTAAGCCATGTAGATTACTTTCTTAGCTCTGTGGGCATCTGTTTGCAACTCTTGACCGGGTTTTAGGTGACTGCCAACTCAATAGATGCCAACAGTGTGACATAGCTGCCAAAAATTCCACCAAATCCAAGGTAATGGAAAAATTGTGTCTAAATCAGTGGTCCTTAACTTTTGAGGAGTCACAGACTCCTTAGGAAATCTAGAAAAATCAGTGAGTCTATGGCTATGTCTAGCCATACAAAAATTTACAATTAATTTCAGGGAGTCGACAGACCCTCTGAACCCCCAGTTCCCAGGTTAATGATCACAGTTCAGAACAAGAAGGTAAACTGTTCTACTGTATGTTTACTATGACTGCTCCTAGGAATCACATTTTAAGATGGATGCTGACAAACTGCTATCCAGAGCAAGGCAACCAGGATGATAAAAGGTCTGGAAATTACATTATAAAGTTGAAGAATCTAAGAATGGTTAGCCTAGGAAAAGGAACACTTAGAAAGGAACATAACATCCATTTTAAATTTCAGAAGCTGTAATAAGGAAAAGGGATTAGGCTTACACTGGTCCAGCTGGCAGAGCTAAGATCAATGAGAAGTTACAATGAGGTCTATTTTACTATTTCAGTTCAGCGTAAGAAAGAAGTTTCTCACAATTAAAGCTGTACAAAACCGAAACAGTCTGTCCTGTGGACCAATGAAGTAACAAGCTCTCCATCGTTGTAAGTATCCAAGCTTCTGCAGATAGTAAATTTTTGTGTCTCAGAGATACCATACGAAGGATTCCTGAGCTGGGCAGATGGATGCACTACAATTATCTAAAGCTTCTTCCAAACCAAAGTTTGAGTGAGCGGAGCTGGAGATGGCAATATAGTAGTCCCCCTTATCTGTGGTTTCACTTTCTGAGATTTCAATTTCCCATGGTCAACTACAGGCCAAAAAACTATTAAATGGAAAATTCCAGAAATAAACAACTCATAAGTTTTAAATTGAGCACTGTTCCACGTAGCATGATAGAATCTCACACTGCTTGCTCCACCCTGAAGAGTCATGAATCCTCCCTTTGTCCAGCACATGCACGCTGTACACACTACCTGCCTGTTCGTCCCTCAGCAGCCACCCCGCTTATCAAATTGGCTGGCTGGGCACCACAGAGCTATGTTCAAATTACCCTCATTTTACTTCATAATAGCTCCACATTGTGACAGTAGTCATGCTAGCATATTGTTATAATTGTTCTATTTTATTATTAGTTGTTGTTAATTTCTTACTTTGCTTAATTTATAAATTAAACGTTATTATATGTATAGGAAAAAACACGGTTTTTATAGGTTTTGGTACTATCTGCAATTTCAGGCATCCACTGGGGGTCCTGGAACACATACCCCACAGATAAGGGGGGACTACTGTAATAATTCTCTTCTCCCAAACCTTTATCTTGCTCTGATCAAATAACTCTTAATACATTGCAGCAAAGCTCCATTAAAGAGATAGGTACTCAGTGGCTGGTCCTCTCCGGTGATTCTCAGCGAGCTTACTGGGAACTGGTCAAGGTTTGGCAACTCTTGAAATTTACCATGCCAACTTTTTCTTCCTCTAACATGCGCTCTTCCATTCACCTCACTTGCTACCTATGCTCAGGCTGTCCATTTTGATTTTTGGAGAGCTGCATAAATTTCATAGCATATCAGATCCTGTACTTGCTGAACTGACTCATCTTATCCACAAAGTTTCAAACATGTGGGCATTTAATTAAAGCTTTTGACTGATGACTTCAACAGATAAATATGGAGAGGATTCCGCACCATATAAACTTTGTAACAGCCTCACAGTCTGGTTACAAGAGGTCACTCAGACTAGACCAGTTCAAGTTGCCCCACATAGGAGATGGTCAACGATCAAAGACTCTCCAAAACGTTTAGCAAGTGCTAACCAAACAGCTGGTACTTCAGAAATTTCAAGAAACTAAAGAAATCACCTCACTATGTCTTCAATATCTAAATCATCCTCTTCCCCCAAATAATTTTTGAGTCAGAAACACTGCTTTTCAAAAAGAACTTTTCTGCTAAAAATGTCTCCTTTAAGACACCATGATTTGATACAAACTCTTTCCCCTTATTTACACAGATTAAAAAGCATAACTGTTCTGGCTGAACACAATCAAAATTAAATTTATAGAAGGAAAACTTCCTTCTGTCCATGTTGCTGCTCTCCTCCTGAGTGTTCCTCAGAAGCTTAGGAAACAAGTTCTGAAAGCGAACTTTCCCTCTGTTCCAGGGAAGAAGGGAATGTGGGGCCTCTTGACCTATAAAACTCAGTATTTTGGAACATCCATAATTCTCTCAAGTCTGTGCCAGTCAAATAGAGACTCCTTTTAGCAAACCACCAGCCAGCAAGGGCTGGAGAGTGAGGCTTTCATCCCTAGGAGTTGACAAGGACAGGACCCAAAAGCTTCCTAGGGAAAAAAAGAAAAAAGCCTCTACTTCAGCTTGCATTACAAACTGTTGGAAAAGACAGATGGAGGGGATGACAAGAAAAGCAATTATTTCTTCTGGGCTTCCTTTCTGTCTGGATTCTAAGGAGACGAACACAAAATTCCATCACAGATTGAAATGCTATCTAAACATTCTTGAAAATGTGGTCTTGCTCTCTGAAATATGACCTGCTCTGCTGCAGCAACCTGTAACCTATTAATATGGGATGGTGGGGAATGCCGACATTCCTGCAGGCTGGCTAATGCTGGGCCTGACTCTCCAATACTGCTAGCTTGTGACCCATGGTTAAAACATAAATAACTGAAAGATATATATCTACATAGCATGATCCAACAAAACATCCTGATGAATCATTCATTTATATTTTCACATTCTTGGAATTTTAAATACCTGAGAGTCTCCTAAGTATTTAAAGGTTTCTAGTGAGCCATTCTAAATGCAGGCTGAGTCACACGGAACAGTAGTGTTATTATTCCAAATAATAGTAAGTTGGGAGTATTCAGGCAGAAATAAAATTTTAAAGTACTTTAAAGTAACACACATTGATCAAAATAATGTTTTTATGGTTAACGGCATTTGTTTCTTTATGATTAATAAGCAATCTCGCACAGACCAAATATTCGATACAGTTGAATAAAATGTTGTTGCATGTGGACCACATGCAGTGAAATGTAAGAATGACAAAGATGTAGTTCTTACCTCCAGTGAGCTTATAAACCAGTCAAGGAGACAAGATGTGTTCACTAGTAAGTCAAGGGAGATCCCAAAAGCCAAATGAAAAGTACAAGCATAGGGCTGCGGGAGTTTATGGGTAGAAGGAATATACATCTAACTGAATGATCTTGAGATCAATTTTTTTCCCCTGTAAAACGAGAGGAACGGACCAAATGAGTTCCAAGCCCTTTCTAGTTCAAAAATTCTGATTCCTTGGTGTATCTAGATGAGGTAAATAGAAAATATCATAAAAGAAGCAGTATGTGGAAATGTAGCTACTGGAAGAAAGAGAGAGGAGAAAAAGCATTGCAGGCACAAAGAAATACATAAGCATGTCTAGAAAGCACAGGGCATGCTTGTTGAGCACTAAATCTTCGGTATAAATAGAACACAATAGGATACAAAATTGGAAATGTAGAGTGAAGCCGTGAACGCCAAGCAAAGGGACTGGATTGCATTTGGTAGCCAGAAGCCACTGAGGTTTCTGAAGAGGTAGATGATATGATAGACATGTATTAGGAAAGTTAACCAGCAGAATGAGGCTGCAGCAGTTGCAGCCTACTCTGTGATTCTTTATGACCTCTAAGGGTCCCCTCTAAGGGCCTCATCCGCCAGCAAAGCAGCGTTTCTTGGCAGATAACCTCAAATAGACAAAAACAAGGCAATAAAGACCGTGCAACAGTCCAGAAAACAGGATCAGTTTTAGGAAACTATGAGTCTATAAGCAAATACTGATGATGATAACAAAGAAGAAGGTAGACTGCTTACAAATGAATCAATGAAAACTATTAAGCTAAAAAAGAAAGTTAATCAGAAAATGCAAGAAAAACAGAGAGCTGAGTAAAACAAAAAATGTAAAAGAAAGAGACTCATAACCCCTGTAAGCTACTAGCAGAGGAAGGAGGACTATCAGAGACCAGGAAATTTTAACACAGGATCATCCCCTCCCCTCACCCCAAGTATGGGCAACATGATGAACTTTTAGAAATCAGTTGCACTAAAAAATGTCAAAGAGGAGAGATAACAGAACTGAAGCTATCACAAAGGCACACCCCTGACCTAACTGGATTCGTATTGGAAAGGGAGGAGTAGACTGTAAGAGAGGAAGACTAGGAAAGGCATGCTCAGCATTTCTGTCATGACAGCAATTTCTGAAATACGATGCCTCAACAGAAGAAGAGTCCAAATAAAAAGGAAAATGGTTACTAGATAATATCTGGCCCCTTAGTCATTGAAGGCTATCTCCTCCCCACACACTTCTTTCTCCCTTCATTCTCTTCCAATATCCCCCCTTAGCTAGATCCAAAAAGACCTGTAAAACTTTGAAATGAAACTTCAATTACCTGGGGCAAGGGCAATGTACGTCACCTAAACATTTGTACCCCCATAATATGCTGAAATAGAAAACAAAAAATAAATAAATAAAAGCCTCCCCCTTGCCTCAAAAAAAAAAAAAAAGAATCTTCAATTACCTTGTTGGCAACAAAATTAGGTATGGAAAATTGTAGGTATGTCAGGTTACTATGTTTTGTGGCCATAAAAGTAGTATCAAAACCTCATCAACCGGGAAGTGCCAGTAGCGCGCAAGCAGGAAGTGGTGTTTCCTGGAGTAGAGATGGCCGCGCTTGCTCCGCTGCCCCCGCTCCCCCCCCAGTTTAAGAGTATACAGCATCATCTGAGGACGGCTCAGGAGCATGACAAGCGGGACCCTGTGGTGGCTTATTACTGTCGTTTATATGCTATGCAGACTGGAATGAAGATTGACAGTAAAACTCCTGAATGTCGTAAATTTTTATCAAAGCTAATGGATCAGTTAGAAGCTCTCAAGAAACAGTTGGGTGATAATGAAGCCATTACTCAAGAAATAGTTGGTTGTGCCCATTTGGAGAATTATGCTCTGAAAATGTTTTTGTATGCAGACAATGAAGATCATGCTGGGCGATTTCACAAAAACATGATCAAGTCCTTCTATACTGCAAGTCTTTTAATAGATGTCATAACAGTATTTGGAGAACTCACTGATGAAAATGTGAAACACAGGAAATATGCAAGGTGGAAAGCAACATACATCCACAATTGTTTAAAGAATGGGGAGACCCCACAAGCAGGCCCTGTTGGAATTGAAGAAGATAATGACATTGAAGAAAATGAAGATGCTGGAGCAACCTCTCTGCCCACTCAGCCACCTCAGCCATCATCATCTTCAACTTACGACCCAAGCAACATGCCATCGGGCAACTATACTGGAATACAGATTCCTCCAGGCGCACATGCCCCAGCTAATACACCAGCAGAAGTGCCTCACAGCACAAGTAGGAAACTAAAACTGAACAATTTTTTAATTCCCCTTTTATAAATAATTGCTGTACTACTTATCATATTTGTGCTTCATAATGATAGCCGTGAACATATATGGTCCTTAAATTCCATTTGAACCCACCAAAAAATTAAATTCTTTAATTGAAGTTTTAATATTAGTTATATTACAGTTTTTGAGAAATGACAAATATTAGTTTGGATTAATATTAATGTTATACTTTATTAATAGGAATAGTTTCTGTGCTTTGCATGTGTATTGCTATTCTTTTTTCTTCCCTTCCCTTCTCTTCCCTTCCCTTCCCCCTTAACTATTGTTTATGAATAGCACTGAGGTGAGTGAGCTTTCTATAGGATGTGTCAGTCAGAGTCTCACTGTGATAGCAAGATTAAATTTGTCTTGCCTCATTGCCTGAGGACCCTACCCCTGCCCCGACATGGGTTTTATTGATGATGGGGAGCACTTTTGAGGTGCAGAATCTTAGTAACAGGGGAATCACAGATGAGTGAAAGGGTTTCTTTTTTTAACCTTACAAATGTGTGAATTTAAAAAAACAGGGAAGAGATATCTGCTTATCTATGTCTATGTTTTCATAGAAAAAAGGGCGGATGAAACCTGTGTCCAGTAGTAAGTCAGTGTCAGCAGATAGAGGCACTTTCACAAAATTGAAACTATTCTTCATTTACTTGTATTGTTGACAAAGTATCACCCTTACTTTCCAATTGAAGGGCGTTAACTACGATAATTTAAATTCTACACCTGGATTCGATTGGCTAGGATTTTGTTGAGAATTTTTGCATCTATATTCATAAGGGATATTGGTCTGTAGTTTTCTTTTTTGTTGCATCCTTTCTTGGTTTTGGTATTAGGGTTATGTTCACTTCATAAAATGTGTTGGGAAGGATTCCATCCTTCTCAATGTTGTGGAATAATTTCTGCAGGAAAAGCTTCTGCACAGCCAAAGAAACTGTCAAGAGAGCAAACAGATAACCCACAGAATGGGAGAAAATTTTCACAAGCTACATATCCGATAAAGGGCTGATAACTAGAATTTGTTTAGAACTCAGGAAAATCAGCAAGGAAAAATCAAACAACCCTATCAAAAAGTGCACAAAAGACATGAACAGAAATTTTTCAAAAGAAGACAGAATAATGGCCAACAAACATATGAAAAAATACTCAACATCTCTAATCATCAGGGAAATGCAAATCAAAACTGCAATGAGAAATCACCTATCTCCAGTATGAATGGCCTTTATCAAAAAGTCCCCAAACAATAAATGTTGGCATGGATGCGGAGAGATAGGAACACTCCTCCACTGCTGGTGGGACTGCAAACTAGTTCAACCTCTGTAGAAAGCAATGGAGATACCTTAAAGCGATACAAGTAGATCTACCATTTGATCCAGCAATTCCACTACTGGGCATCTACCCAAAAGATCAAAAGTCACTTTATGAAAAAGACACCTGCACTCAAATGTTTATAGCAGCACAATTCACAATTGCAAAGATGTGAAAACAACCCAAATGCCCATCAATACATGAGTGGATTAATAAAATGTGGTATATGTATACCATGGAATACTACTCAGCTTTAAGAAACAATGGTGATATAGCACCTCTTGTATATTCCTGGATAGAGCTGGAACCCATTCTACTAAGTGAAGTATCTCAAGAATGAAAAAACAAGCACCACATGTACTCACCAGTAAATTGGTATTAACAGATCAACACCTAAGTGGACATATAGGAATAACATTTATTGGGTGTCGGGCAGGTGGGAGAGGGCAGGAGGGGATTATACAAACATAATGAGTGAGATATGCAACGTTTGGGGGATGGTCACGCTTGAAGCTCTGACTCGAGAGGGGTGGGAGGGCAAGGGCAATATATGTAACTTTAACATTTGTGCCCCCATAATATGCTGAAATAAAAAAATAAAATAATAGGTTTGACTAATTATTTTACTTATTATTTTGTCATTTAAACATAAGTATGCTGTCTCCAATTTTTTTGTGTAAAGGTGAGTGTATAAACAAATACAAATAAATAATTAATGATCACAAAAAAATTTAAATTCTACACTTCATTTATTTTAATTTTTTTAAGAATTGTTCTTTAAAAATTTGTATTTATCCCAGTACAAAGGTGACCCATGGTACTAAACTTTACAGTAATTTCAAAATATTTAATTAGTGGAGTGAGAGTCATCGTTTGACCTCTGATTTCTACTGTTTTCTATTATGTAACACACTATTATGTCACTGCTTTTTAGTTGTCAGCCTATTTTACCCAAACCACGTAGGCTATTTTGTATGAGTGAAATTTACTTTTAAGTTTTCTGTTTTGACCATTGTTGCAACAATTATTTAGTCTCTTTCGTCCTACTGTAAAACTTTCAAGTTTTTATTATCTATAGATATTGCTAATATTTTCCCTTTAAGATTGTTGATGAAAGTGATAATTTTAGCAAAAAAAAAAAAAACCTCATCAACCAAGGCCTCTCTCCCTTGGAGGTGGGGGGGGGTCCATTTTCCATTTTCTCCTCAGCCAAGGATGGCAGCCAAGATCATGGCCAGGACTGCCATGAGCTTGGCAGCCTTGTTTTCCTGCCTCAGACATTTGGGGAAAAAAACCCCAACAACTTAGCTGATAGACAAAAGCAGCAACCTTATTTAGCTATAGTACACAAAATAAAGGAGGGTACAAGAGATCTCTGACACTAAGGAGAAAGACAAGGAAATTCCAGTCTTCTCATTTTGGCCTGTGTGCATGGCCCTGGGCCCAAGGGAAACTGAGTGAGAGCTCATGGTCCCTCTGGCCAGCCTACCCTGTCCTGCTGTGCGTGAAACGGAACAATCAGAAAGTGCTCTGCAAGAAGGCACATCGACATTTTGGTCACTTGGTTGTTTGGGCTTGAAGAAATTAGGGGAGAACAATTAAAATGAAGGAATAAGCTACTTACTTGCCTTCCATCCTGCCCCACGTTCGTTTGACCTCTTACAACGGTTCGAATATTGTCATCTAGTCTCCTAGCAAAAAGTTAAAGGATACAAATCATTCAGATAATCTCTATTTTAGGTTGACCGAAAGAAAAAATAGTAATTTATCCATCAACTCCTGCAGATTGCAGCTACTTGTCCAGAAAACCAAGCAAGTGTGAATGATATAAGGAAGAATGAGGCCTAGGACCTCAGGGGGCAGCAACAGTAGTGCAGGGAGCCAAGACTGATGAGTCGCCTTGTTTTTAAAAATGGCTATTTTCACTTAATAGTCAGAGCTGTCTGAAAGGACCAATAAAACTTTTAGTATTTTTTATGGAGTAAATCAGGAATGACAGAATTGCTGAAACTTTATAGGAACAAGCCAGAGAATTCAAATTACCCCACACAAAATCCCTTCCTCAGTAACTTCCTCAATATCCTTAAAAGGGAGAAGGAGCCAGAGTGGTAGATGAAATCCGTTCTTCACCCCCTGGGCCCTGATCATGCAACTGTGTGTGAGACAGATCCACGGCTTCCAGCTCTTTCTCTTGCAGCTCATTGGGGGCCAATTAACAACACCTCAGCTGGAGGAATTTGTATCAGTCTATGTCATTTTTCATGTGAAGAATCCATCAAAGGTATGGTAGGGAGAAAGTGGAAAATATTAATAGCTAGCTTACAAGTGATTTTGAATCATCAGGGAATTTCCATTTTCTGTGCAAACCCTGGGCAACTTAGTGGTCTCCTAGAATTGTTACAGCTGAAGTCCAACAAAACAAGGAGGCTTTTTTGTACTTTGCAAGGCACCAATGGAATGATACGTTCATAGGCCAGAGGTCTTCACTGAAAGACCCAAGGGGAAAAAATCATCTCCTGGATTTAAAATGAACACTCTTCCTCATCAAAAGTTAAAAGCAAAACAAACAAAAGCCCCAAAACTATATCTGAAGCAATGCCATCAACCTACTTATATAGTGAACATTTATCGAGTACCTACCATGTGTCAAAACTGGAAACCCAGACATGGGTGAACCAGAACAAGCCTTAGGTAGGAAGGACACGTGATGATAATCCTGGACAATCACATCCTGGATTAATCACAACGTTTAATTCTGGGCCACCACCAAGGCCAACCAGCAGATCTAACATTGTTAGCTGGTATGTTACCAAGGATATACATATAAGCCTATCTTCATATCTAAAGCTTGGAATACAAAAAAAAAAGGTAAATCCATTAGGGAAATAAAACAAGTAAAGATATAGTAGAAAAGCTTTTTACTCCTTCTACAATTAACTGTTTCGAATAGATTCTGTTACAGCATCATTCCTTTTTTATAAATTAAAGACTGGCTGAAGAATTGAGTTCCTTGCTACAAGGTTCATATGGAAACCCAAATAAAAGAATACTTTAAAAAAAAATTACTATCTACAGCAAACATGGCATTTCAGTGCTCTCACAGGAAAGTGTGATCCTGAATGCGATTAGCTAAATTAACAACACACTTTCCATTAATTATTAACAATCATACAGTGTTACTTACCTTATTTTCAGTCTAATTTTGTTCACGACTTCATCTATGTTTGCCAGGGACTATAACAAAGAAGGAAGAATGTCCAGCTGTTATTCCACTTCCTGGAATTCTGCTTTCACAGGGATATTATGAGTTATAGTGGCTATTTATGAAATCTCAAAAATATAATTATACTGTATGATGCTTTTTTTTTTTAAAGTAAAGCAGTAGTTAGCAACTACTGCCAGATCCAGCCCAACACCTTTATTTATAAATAAAGTTTTATTGAAACACAGCCATGTCCATTCACTTACATATTGTCTTATGGCTGCTTCTGAGCTACAATGGCAGAGCTGGGTAGTTGTGACAGACATTGTATGGCCCACAAAGCCTACAATGTTTATTCTCTAGACCTTTATAGAAAGTTTGCTGACCCTTGGTATATAGGGTTGGGACAAATGCATACAAGAAAATACAGCAACAAAAATAAATGAACTATTACAACACACAACAACATGGATAAATACTAGTAACATAATGGTGCACAAAAAAAGCCAGACTCAAGAATATATACTGTATGATTCCACTTACATAGTTCAAAAACAGGTAAAACTATCCTCTCATGTTAGAAGCCAGGATAGTGGTTATCTTGGGGAGGTAGTAACAGTGAAGAGGCAGGAAAGAAAGGCCTTCTGAAGATGTTTTGTTTCTTGATCTTGGTGGAGGTTGCATGGCTGTATTTATTTTGTGAAAATTCATCAAGGTTCACACTTAAGATTTGTGTACCCCTCTACATGATGCCATATTTCAATAAGTAAGTTTCTCTTTTAAGTATATAGATCCATTAGAAAAAAGTCTGGAAGGATATACGCTAGTAGTTGTAGTCTATACTAGTAGCTGTAACCTATAAAATCTAGGATCAGTTTTAATCTATGAAAAGAAGGGATTTCAAATTTTTCTTCTTTTTGCCTATCAATATTTTCTCAAAACACTGCATTAACTATGCACCTCTACTGTAATTATATTTTTTAAAAGATTATGACAATTCAAACAAATGAACCATTTCCAACCTTAGAGATCAGAAAATGTAGGGGAATGGCGCCCCCTAATGGAGGAGGGCAGGTACAACTTTATAGTACCATTTTAACTCAAGTTTTCAAAATACAATTTTTATTTTATTTTATTTTATTTTTCCCCAAAATCATGGCTTGTTGAAACAAAATACAATTTTATACAACCTCTTTCCCTCTCCCGCAACAGATACTTTATCTCAGAAGGAACTGGCGGTTATGCAGGAATTGTGCTTCATCTTATCTACTATTCTGACCACACCAGTGGTAACTCAAAATTTTCAGAAATCCAAGAACAGCCTGAGGTAAAGATGAATCTCAGAAAAGTTACTCAATCCAATCCAGTTCTGCCAAGTTTGTCACTACAAAACCAAACTGAGTATAACACAGGTCATCACCGTGTTAACAATAGCTGAAGTGTGACCCAGACCTGCCACTAACTTGCTGGAGGGCAAGTGGTTTAACCTATCTGAGTTTCTATGTCCTCACGTGCAAAATGGGCATAACAGTTGCTGCCTTGCCCATCTCTGCTGGAACCCACTTTTTCAAAAAGATCTATTTTTTGGTATTTAAAACGATCTACTGGCCGGGCGCGGCGGCTCACACCTGTAATCCTAGTACTCTGGGAGGCCGAGGCGGGCAGATTGCTTGAGGTCAGGAGTTCAAAATCAGCCTGAGCAAGAAATTAATTGGCCAACTGATATATATATATAGAAAAAATTAGCCGGGCATGGTGGTACATGCCTGTAGTCCCAGCTACTTGGGAGGCTGAGGCAGAAGGATCGCTTGAGCCCAGGAGTCTGAGGTTGCTGTGAGCTAGGCTGACGCCACAGCACTCACTCTAGCCTGGGCAACAAAGTGAGACTCTGTCTCAAAAAAAAAACAAAAAAAACAATCTACTTTTAAAATGTGGATAGCAGGGAATCTGGGTAAAGGGCAGTCATAAATTCTTTGTACTATTCTTGCATCTTTTCTAAAAATGGGAGATTATATTAAAATGTTTTAAAAATTTATATTCTGGCCAGGTACGGTGGCTCATGTCTATAGTCCTGGCACCTTGTGAGGCTGAGGCTGGAGGATCACTTGAGGTCAGGAGTTCAAGACCAGCCTGGGCAACACAGCGAAACCATGTCTCTACCAAAAAATAAGAAAAATTAGCCGGGCATGGGAGGATCGCTTGAGCTCAGAAGTTGGAGGCTGCAGTGAGCAATGATGATGCCACTGCACTCCACCCTGGGCAGCAGAGCAAGACCTTGTCTCAAAAAAAAAAAAAAAATTGTAATCTATTTAAAATTGGTGAACATGATAAAAAATTCAGATAGTAAAAGAGGGTATACAGTGCTAAGAAAGGCTTCCCTTCCTCTCACCCTGGCCTGCCCATCCCCTCCAGTTCTCTTTCCCAGAGGCAACAGCTCGGAGCCAGTTTCTGGTGTACCTTCTGGGGGGCAGTCTATGTATTGAAAGCATATCCGTACGCATTCTGCACCATTCTTTTTCCACTTAACAAGAGAACTCAGAGGTCATCCAACATCAGTAAGTATTGATTTTTAGTAGTACAACAATTGTTTCTTAAACATAATAATCCTCAGACATGAAGGTCTTGCTTAAGCCATGACAATTTTTCTAAAAAGAATAATCCAAAATATTTATACAGTCAGATATTCAACTGCATTTAAAAGGGTAAAAGCCTGGAATAGACCTAATTGCCCATCAACAGAAAAGTCAAACAAATTAGGCCATATTTGTCCAATAGATTTTTATGCCACCACTACAGACGCTGGTCAGGGAGGCTATGAAATAGAAAAGATTGCTTATGATATCATGCTAATAAGAGGAAAACATTTTATAATATCATTTTTATAATATCAAATGTCATTTTTATAATATCATGAATATAGCTATTAAAAATAACAGAAAGAAATATCCAAAAAAATCATAATATTTGATTGAACATTAGGTGGACCCATGGGTGACTGCTTTCCCTTTACTTCCTAAATTTCCTACTGAGGAAGTAAAAGGGAAAGGGTGCTAGCATTTAATGTGGGTTTGAATAAAAATGCAACATTGCTCTAGACACTTTACAGAATTATGTCCCTTAATGCCCTCAGCCATCCTATACTAGGCACACTATTACCCTCTTCCATATTAAGATTGGGAAATATATTCTGAAAAGATTGACACTTTGTCTGAGGTCACAGAGACAACATGCAGCACAAGCCAGATTCAGCTGGAGTCTGTCCAAGGTCTCTGCTCTTTCTTATGCTATCATGCTACCCCCAAGGCAATGGTCCTTGACCTACTTTTCCTGTACCCCAAACACCTGGCAGATATGATACACCCTGTCCCCTCTGTTCAGTGCCTTCCTATGGCAAAATCCTCACTAGAGTTGAGGGCCTCTCCTAGTTGGGAAAAAGCCCGATGGGAATCCAGATTGGCTGCCCTGGGTGTAGGCAGTTTATTTCCTGAGAACAACTCGTCTAGTTAAGCTGTAATGTGCTTGTATAGCTTTAATTGTATAATCTTAAAATGTTTAATTATTGAAAAGTATTTCCTGATTTTAATGGTAATTCTTGACAATTACAGAAATTACAGAAAATAAGTAAAATCACCTGTGTGCCCAGGAACGTATAACCACTGTCTGCATTTTTGTATATTGCCTTCTACTGTTCTATGAAAATACATGGCTTAAAAAAAATATAAACTGGGATAAGCAATTTGACATCTTCCCCCCCACCCACACTTAACAATATAGATCTAGAGCATTTTTGGGGGGGGTCATTAAAGAGATTTTTTTTTTGAGATAGGGTCTTGCTCTTATCACCTGAGCTAGAGTGCAGTGGCATCATCATAGCTCACTGCAACCTCAAACTCCTGAGCTCAAGTGATCCTTCTGCCTCAGCCTCTAAGGTAGCTGGGACTATAGGCACATGCCACCACATCTGGCTAATTCTCCTATTTTTTGTAGTGACAGGGCATTGCTATGCTGCTCAGGGAGGTCTTGAACTCCTGGCCTCCCAAAGTGCTAGGATTACAGGGATAAGCCACTGTGCCTGGCCAAAAATTCTTTACAAACATTCCCATATGACTCTTTTCTCAAAAGTTCCTAATTAGTTTTATAATAGTTTTTCATCAATTTCACCTACTTTCCCCTAATCAAACTTCCAATGAAAACAGGACAACTGATTGTTTTCAATTTACCACTAGAGACTAAAAAGGTTTTTGAGACCATCATTACCAAACCTAGCTACTCTTCAGAACCTCACAGGAGCTGTTAAATGCAAAAACCTGAGCTCATCCCAGACACATCTAGGGATCTCAGTCTACACTACAGCCTCCAGACAACCACAGACACACAAGTACTTGCCACTTAATAGAAATACACCCCATAATACGCTAATAAAATAAAAATACATTACAACAACAAAAAAGAAATACATACACACCTTCCTCCTCAGAATAACATTACATTTCTTTTTGCATTTTTAATTGATACATAATATTTGTACATATTTATAGGGCACATATGATATTTTGTTATGTGCATAGAATGTGTAATGATCAGGTCAGGGTATTTAGGATATCCATCACCTCAAGCATTTAACATTTCTATTAAGTCTATTCTTGATATATTGATATCTACTTTAAACGATCTAAACTCATAATTAAGAAGTATTTACTGTAGGTCAACAAGGCATATAGATGGTTTTTGCCCAAGTTCTAGCAGTAGTTAACAGAAATTATAAGTTAGGCCACTGCTTTCTATCCTCTTTTTATTAAAGTCCATGGGAATCTGGTTTGGTAGATGAATTGTTAAGTCTGACTCTGGGACCAGGGGAATAAAGGTGACCCCGTGTCATAAATTTTCTGAGTTACCCTAAGAAACTTCACCACGTTATCAAGTTCATGGGGGCATAATTAGACAAGACATATAACTGAATCTGTGGAATAAGAAAGGTCTTGTCCTACCTTCAGGAGTTAACAAAAACAAATAAACAAATCAGAAGAGATGAGAATCTGGTGGTTTCCTACATAATTTTCAAATCTAACACTTGTTTTGGTTTGTTCCCAAATGTCTATCTCCAGCTAATTCCTGAAGTTCCCCTTTTATAAAAAATGATGAGCTCTTTATAGCTCATTTGTGAAATCTCAAAAAAGACAATCACCCAGCATTTCATTTTTAAACTTTATTTTAAAAATTAGTTAAGTCCATTAGAAAGTTTGGAAGGAAATATGCCAAGATATTGACAATGATAGAGATTATGAGCTCCAGAAATATCCAGCTATATACTTCCACCTGGATGACCAAATATGTTCAAAACTGAACTCATCCTTACACCCTGCCCCTACCCCACTTACCACTGAAAGCCTGTGCTTTCTCCTCACACTTAACATTGGGTAAAGGTGCCAGTACCCACCCAGTCTATCAGGCTAGAAATCAAAGCTCAAAAGCCTTAACTTGGCCTAGAATGCCCTACTAAAATGCCATTTCCTCAGGGAAGGAAGCCTTCTCAGACCCTTCAGACTAAACTCAGGCCTTGTGTGTTCTGCTTCCACTGTATTTGGTACGATACCTTCATGGCAATGCTGTGATATCTAAGCTGAGCTTTCTTTATCTCTCCCGGCCTCTTTATTCTCAGTGTTAAACAAGAACGATAACAAAGTGAGAATTTATCATAGCTTAGTGCTTCGAATGGTGCATGGTACACAGTGAGCATCCAATAAATGTTAGCTATTATGATAGTTGTGGTAGATGTGAGGACTCTTTTAAGAGCAAGTTATATTTAATAATTATGCAAACAAGTTATTGTGACTTCATAATTTACTTATAATCTGTTAATTGTGTCATTACCTATCAAGATAGACCGTAAGCTCCGTGTTGGTAAGGACCATGCCTGTCTTGCTCACCCTGCTACCCCTGAATTTCTTATAAAGGTAGGCAGAGTAGGTTTTCTTTGTTGAGTAAATGAATGAGTGAATTTTGGATTCTATGTGAGCCTCTACCTTCATCCCTTCAGGCACCAAATTGTGTGACTTCTCTCCCCTAAATAGGTCTCAGATCTTGTTCTCTCCACCCCACAGCCTTCCTTCAGGCTTTTATCATCTCTCTCAAGTGATCAATTACATTAGTCTCCTCAATGGTCTTCCTGCCTCCAGTCTCACCTACCTCCCCCCAAGTACAACTCCCACTCTGCTGCCAGATGGGAACATGAATCTCCTCTAGTCATGACCCTGTCAAAAGTCCTTCCATGAACACCCACTGCCTACAGTAACTGTCTCCAGAGTATGGCGTTTGCCATACTATTCCTTGGGACGTTAGAAAAAAACCATTAAAACCTCTATTTTTATTTTTTACTTACATAGAAAATACTACTAAAGCTTAATCTATTTAAGATTGGTACTAGAATACGTACGTAACATTTTGGGGATGCAGGCTTTAATATTAGCCCAGTGGAAAACAGTTCTGTAAAAAAATATTTCACTGAGATATCTAGAGCAGCAGTCCCCAACCTATTTGGCACCAGGGACTGGTTTCAGGAAAGCCAATTTTTCCATGGACTGAGGAGGTGGGGGTGGGATGGGTGTTTTAGGGGATGTGGAGCTCAGGCAGTGACACGAGGCCTGTTTCCTAACAGGCCACGGACCAATACTGAGCCACGGCCAGGGGTTTGGGGACCGCAGGCCTAAAGGATATACATAGATCCTTCAGGATCCTTGTTCTGTCAACCTCCTCAGCCTCATTTCCTATGAGGCTCTGATCACTGTGCAGGCTTTGTGTTTCCTGTTTCTGAGCCTTTGCCCTGTGTTTAGAAAGACCTTCTTTCCTTCGTCATCCTGGAAGATTTTCCTGGCTAATCCCTCTGGCTAGAATAGTGTTCCGCCAGATCGTCACAAGCCTGGCTCCTTCATATCTATCAGGTCTCAGCTTAACGAGAACAGCTTCAGAGGGAGCATCCCTTTAAGCTATCTTTTTCTAAAGAACTCCTCACCCCATGCCATCATGCTCTATCCTTGCACCTGCTTTGATTCAGAGCATTAACCAACCACACTTGAAAATTTCCTGTGTATTTATTTGTTGGTTTATTTCTTGTCTTCCTCCCCAGATAGACCCCATGAGACCAGGAACTTACCTGTTATTTCTTCCCAGCTACTAAAAATAGTGCCTAGCACTCAGTAGACACTTAATAAACGTACACTTAATAGACACTTAATAAATGACTACTGAGTCTGACTAAATGAATGAATGAATAAATCCTCCGAGACTTGGCAGACAGACTACCTCCTCTCTGAGGTTTTGATTTTACTAGGAAGAACTGTTCTTTTGTTCCCCATTGTACCATGTCATATCTCAGCAGCGTTCACCAGTGTCTCTCCCTCCACTTGACCATGCACACCTCAAGGGCACACACAGGGTCTTACTCATGACTGTATCCCTGGCACCTGGCACAGTGACTGACAACACATGGCAGGTACCCACTGGATGTTTGCTGAATGAATAAATGAAAATTTGAACAGAACTGCAGCTGCCCTTCTCCAACTGTGCTGCTTCTAATTCTGATCTACTTCTCACTCAAACACCCAAAAGCAATTCTGTAAGAAAAACTCATCTGTGTAGGTGAATTGCCCCACAAAACAAAATAAAACACAAGGTCTAAAAATTTACATCTTGAAATAGGGGCAAAAGGGGCTTCATGACTCTGGGCTTATCCTGCCTGACTCGCACTCCCCCACCTTTTTTTTTTTTTTACATTATAAAAATCCTTTCACTTTCCAATTTACAACAGAAAATTTAGGGGGGGAGTCTCTTACAACTTAAGGGTACAATTTCTAATAATATGCTCATCATGCAAAGAATTCCACTCTAACATAACTTAGCTAACTGCCCCCACTGGTAACAATGGAGTTTGATTTGAATTTAACTCTCACTTGTTGATCAAGGGCCCTTGGATCATGTAGTATAACACATCAGTCATAACATTCAGGATGAGCCAGAAGCCACTGAAATGAAGGAAACCTAAAACTCTATACTTACTTGCTCTGTTGGGAACAGGGTATTGATATACTCAACAGCATTGAAATCTGCTCGATCTAGAGGATCCTGGCTTGGAAATACCTATATAAAAAGAGAAGATTATATATCAAAACATCATGTTGTACACCATAAATATTTATATATTTTTTAATTTGTCAATTAAAAAGAAAATAAATTTTTAAAAATAGGGGATTTAAAAATAACTGTCGGCAAGGCATGGTGGCTTACACCTGTAATCCCAGTGCTTTGGAAGGTTAAGGAGGGAGGAACCCTTGAGGCCAGGAGTGCAAGATCAGCCTGGGCAACATAGCAAGACCCTATCTCTATAAAAAATTTTTACAAAAATTAGACGGGCTCACGCCTGTAATCCTAGCAATCTGGGAGGCTGAGGCAGGTGGATCGCTGAAGGTCAGGAGTTCGAAACCAGCCTGAGCAAGAGCGAGACCCCGTCTCTACTATAAATAGAGAGAAATTAATTGGCTAACTGATATATAGAGAAAAAATTAGCCAGGCATGGTGGTGCATGCCTGTAGTCCCAGCTACTCAGGAGGCTGAGGCAGTAGGATTGCTTGAGCCCAGGAGTTTGAGGTTGCTGTGAGCTAGGCTGACGCCACGGCACTCACTCTAGCCTGGGCAACAAAGCAAGACTCTGTCTCAAAAAAAAAAAAAAAAAATTAGCTGGGCATGGTGGTGCGCGCCTGTAGTCCTAGTTACTTGGAGGCTGAGGCAGGAAGATGGCTCGAGCCCAGGAGTTTAAGGTTGCAGTGAGCTGATTGTCCCATTGCACTCTAGCCCGGGCAACAGAATGAGTCCTTGTCTCTAAAGAAAAAACAAAAAAAACTGTCATCTTTCTACTCTGTTTTATGTATTAAATATTATTTCTTTTCTATTAGATAGTAAGTTTCCCGAAGACAAGTACCAAATCTTTTTTCATTTTCTAACACTTCACACAAAACAGATATTCAATAAAATATCTGTTAAGGTAAATCTTTAATTTTCAACATCTGCAGTCTTAACATCTTGGCACAACTTAATAGAATGTCCAAATGTGAAAAGTTCCACAGATATCAACGAAATCATAAGGACAAGGAAAAGTCAGCAGGCATTGGACACTACTAGATTAAACTGGCGATGACATAGTTGTATTAAGGAAGCCTTGATAACAGACTTATGTACCGTATCTCAATGATGTCCCAGCAGTACAATTCACTATGCATTGAAGCAATTTGTAAAGTGTTAAGAAATGGAGACCTGGCACTCAGGTTAACAAAATAAGGAAAACCACCTATGAGAAATATAACTAACTCCCTCCAAAGTCACAACCTAAAGAACATGTAGCAAGGTAGGCTATAAAACCAGTCAAATGATACCCTGGTTTCTGGACTTCACCAGCTCAAGATAGTTATAATTGCAGGAAGCAATTTCATCTTGGAAGAAACCTTCCGAAGAAATATAGTGTCAAAGGATCAAAATGTCTTCTAAGATAATTATTATTAGAGTTGGTTACTACAATGTCAAGGGGAGGTGGTGGGCAGGTGGTGAGAAGAAGTAAAGGTGTTCATTTTTAAAAATGCTTAGTATTTCTATTTCCGAAATATACATTTATGGTGGAGATATGTCATATGTACACATAATTTATACAACCTCAATTATGTGTGCTCACCAAAGAGAATGCAGGCAACTGGGCCTGCCATGAACGGTATGCTCCATCATGAACATGATATAAGAGATGTGAATTGTTCAAGTCCTCGAGTTGGTCTCAGTTTCTGCATTTCTCTTACCACTCCTGGGTGTTATCTTAGGTTTTAATATGTTTTCATACAACAAGGCCCCTAACACAAGTCAACTACTTCATCCAGTAATAACTGAAAAAAGAGTGACTGGTTCTAATGCTGGAGGAAAAAACTAAGAGCACTAGACTTATCAAAGAGATGCTTATACACTATACTTTAGGAGCAATTTAAAGAATTTCAACGGTAACATGTCTGCAGTGATTAACACCTCCTGCAATGACTTTGGAACTTAACCTCTGAGTAAAATGTGATTCCATTATACTAACCCTTCCTGACTCCTCACATACCTCTACTCTTTACAAATATGCTATTGCATAATTGTCTGCAGAACTTCATTCAGTCTTAGAATGCTAAAGTTAAGAAATAATTCTGAATTCTGGCCAGGTGCGGTGTAATTGGCCAACTAATATATAGAGAAAAAATTAGCCGGGCATGGTGGCGCATGCCTGTAGTCCCAGCTATTCGGAAGGCTGAGGCAGAAGGATTGCTTGAGCCCAGGAGTCTGAGGTTGCTGTGAGCTAGGCTGATGCCACGGCACTCTAGCCTGGGCAACAGAGTGAGATTCTATCTCAAAAAAAGAAATAATTCTGAATTCATCCTGACATCAAGGTGTCTGCTTACAAGATAATCCTATGCTATAATTCAAACTTATTCTTAAACATTTATCTTAAATGTGCTCTTCTGATAACCCTGTCAGTCAAAGAATAACTGTGTTACTAGTTTCTTCCATTAGAGCCCACTAGGTCCAAAGAGCAACTGAAATGTCTTTTTCTAGCAAAAGGAGGTGAGTGGTGGAGCAGTGTGGCGTGAACACTAAAAGCTTTGCCTAATCATTTGGAATCCTCAGAATATCACAAATGTGGTTTGTGTAATACAACCACTCCTAGAAAAGCACACATCCAAAGTCTATAAATGGGTAATCCTAGCACTCTGGGAGGCCGAGGCGGGAGGATTGCTTGAGTTCAGAGTTCGAGTCCAGCCTGAGCAAGAGCAAGACCCCCATCTCTACTATAAATGGAAAAAAATTTGCTAAACAACTAAAAACAGAAAATATTAGCCAGGCATGGTGGCACATGCCTGTAGTCCCAGTTACTCAGGAGGCTGAGGCAGGATGATCACTTGAGATCAGGAGTTTGAAGTTGCTGTGAACTAAGCTGACGCCACAGCACTCTAGCCCAGGCAACAGAGAGAGACCCTGTCTCAAAAAGAAAAAACAAAAAAAACCCCAAAAAACAAAGTCTATAAATGGGACAATATAGATACATAACTTAGCACAGTGGTAGTGGCTGACTCATAGTAAGTTTTTTGTTTTTGTTTTAAGAGACAGGGTCTTTCTCTGTCACCAGGCTGGAGTGCAGTGGCAAAATCATAGCTCACTGCAGCCTCCAACTCCTGGGCTCAAGCAATACTCCTACCTCAGCTTCCCCAGTGGAGGGCTACAAGCATGCACCACCACACCTAGCTAATTTTAAACAAATTTTTTTGTAGAGATAGGGTCTCACTATGTTGCCCAGGCTGGTGTCAAATTCCTAGCCTCATGCAATCCTCCTGCCTTGGCCTCCCAAATTTCTGGGATTACAGGTGTGGGCCACGATGCCTAGTCCATGGTAAGCATTAATGGTCAATATATGTTAACTACTGGTAGTAGTAGAATCAAAGTTTTACTCAGAAAACTTCCCAGTTGTCATTAAATGAGGCATAACCCTCCTCTACTTAAATTATAACTCCACGACAATGCCTTTAAGGGAGATTTTCTTTCTTTGTCAGGAGCAATAGCTTGTAAATGGATCAAGGGAGCAAGGCCTGTACAAGAAATGACTATTCCTAACATAATTACCGTCAAAAATTCAATAAACTTGAAAGGACAGCTAGTCAACTAAAGAGTTCCTGCAAAGAAGAGAGAACTCCTGGGAATATTCCCCAAACTAATGAACCGCAGGAATTCTCAACCTTTTAACATGGTTATTTTTCAACATTTTCTCTCTGCTCTGCCATCAGCTTCAGAAATCAAACTGACACCATTCTCCCAATTCCAAGCCACTCACAAGGGGCTAGCTTAAGAACCAGCAGCGGCGGCACTAGACTGGTAAATCAATGAACCCCCCCCCCTCCCAACGCCCAGAATGTGAGGCTGCCACCCAAGGGGTCCCTTCTCGGTTCATCCTAAGAGTTCCTGTGCCCAAACCCACCAGGACGCACCACTCTCCAAAGACAATCACGGCCTAGAAAGGATTTTCCTTCCCTCCCCTGATTCAGAAACCCCTTTCCATCTCCATCTTCCCGCAAGCCTTCGCTTTCCCTTCTGCACATAGCCCTCACCTCTCTGTCCAAAGACTGCTTCCTCCCCGCCCCTCCGCAAGTCCCACGGCCCAGAGCTGCCCCAGCCTCCGCACTCTCTCCTGAGGGGGCGGGACGCTCACCTGCTCTATGGCTAGCTGCACCTCGGGCGTGAGCTGCAGCACGGCTTCCAGCTCCTCCACGAACTCCAATTCCTCCTCCTCCATCATCCCGCCACCCAGCCTCCTGCGACCCCCACCCCAAGCCCCACTCAAACCTCCAGCCCTCCCCCAGGCCCCAGAGCAGCAACCCTCCGGTTGCAGCCGCCAGGCAAGTTCCAGCTCTCTCAGCCACCCCGGCACTTCCGGGAAGCCTGGCACTTCCGGGATCCGGGGCACTCTGGGATAGTGGAGGACTGACCTCTGGAAGCTTTCCTGTCACGGCCGTGGAGCCTCCCGGGGATCCCGTTAGCCCGGCGACCTCGTCTTTAAGATGGTAGGGGCCTTCTTCAGGTCGCATAAGGCGCGCCCTCCGCTGAGGGCCCGGTGTCGGGGGAAAAGGGCCCGCCTCCCGCCGGGTGTAAGCCCCTGCAGCATTGCGACCGACGGACGGCTACTTCCCCGGGGAAGCGAAGCCGGTGACCCTTCAGCTCCCTGGGCCCCTTTGGTCAGTGGCAGTAGTGTCCCCCTGCCATCGGGGATGAAATGACCCCAGCCGGTAAGTGGCAGTGTTGCCAAGGACAGTTGTAAGATGGGACAGTGTCCACTTGACAGGGATAAGTTCCCCTTGTGCCAGGTCACCAGGCACAGTTTTTTCTGGGGGTGACTGCAGCTTCCTTATTGAGAAAGCTAAAAAATAATAATAATAAAATAAAATAAAAAGCAAGATTAGGCAGTGCCCTAATGCTAGGGAAATGTTTACTTTCTGAGATTCTGAATATCAAGGTGTCTAAGTCCCATTCTACCATCGAGAAGCTGTGTGATCTAGAACAACAGATCTACTCCATCTGCTCTGCTTACCCTGCATGGATGTGGTGAGGATGAAATATTAAAAGCACTATGCAAATGTAAGCTAGTAATACAGGAAATATTAGGGTGTCTTAGCGCTTATGCACTGCAAAGGGAGAAAGAAGCCAGATCACCCTGTGGAACCACTTTTTCTGCAGATACTAAAACAGTGAGAGAATTGCAGCCAAAAGAAGAGTTGCTTTACCAGTTGAGCGTTGTGAAACCCTATGAGGGAAGAGTCCCTGGCCTACTACTGAGCTATTTTTCTGCAGTGAAGAATTTTTTTTTTTTTTTTTAGGGACAGAGTCTTGCTTTGTCACCCAGGCTGGAGGTACAGTGGAGTGATCATAGCTCACTGTTAAGGTCAAACTCCTCCTGAGTAGCTGGGACTACAGGTGCTCACTACCATACCAGGCTAATTTTTAAATATTTTTATAGAGATACAGTCTCACTAAGTTGCCCAGGCTGGTCTCAAACCCCTGGTTTCACATGATCCCCAACACCCCAATCTTGGCTTCCCAAAATGCTGATATTACACCTGTGTGCTACCACACCCAGTCTTTTTTCTTTTATTTTTAATTGATGAAATGATAATTGTATAAAAATATAATTTCTCACAATAAAGGAATGCTTAAAATGTAAATTGAACCCGATGTGGCACCCCACACCTGTAGTCCCAGCTACTTTAGAGGTTGGGGTGGGAGGATTGCTTTAACCCAGGAGTTGGAGGCCAGAGTGGGCAAAATAGCAGGACCCCATCTCTAAAAATAAATAAATCCTCAACTTGAAATTTGAGGAGCCAAAAAAAGGGAAAGAAAAAATTAATAAAATAAAAATTAAAAATGTAAATCAGCTATACAACAACATATTATAGATTTCATAAAATCATGGTTTGGATTTTTTTGGAGATAGAGTCTTGCTCTGTCTTGCTCTGCACCCAAGCTAGAGTGCAGTGGCATCATCATAGCCCACTGCAACCTCAAACTCTTGAGCTCAAGTGATCTTTCTGCCTCAGCCTCCCTAGCTGGGACTACAGGCCTGGTGCGTACCACCATGCCCAGCTAATTTTTCTATTTTTAGTAGAGATAGGGCTCTGGGTCTTACTCAGGCTGTCTTGAATTCCTAAGCTCAAGCAATCCTCCCACCTCAGCCTCCCTGAGTGCTAGGATTACAGACGTGAGCCACCATGCCTGGCCTGGAAAATTTTTTAATGATATGTAAAAATGTACAATATATTTCAGAAAGCAAATTGTATCATATATTTCAGAAAACAAAAATGTACAATATGGTCCTAGTTCATGTATGTTTTGTGCCTATAAAACTGATAGCAAGAAAATATTACTTTCTGCAGGTGATAGAATGTACATTCTTGGTTCATTTTCTCAAATGTCTGCAATGAGCCTATACTACTTTTATAATAATACATAAATGCCTTTTTTAAAAAAGGAAAAGTTTATTCCATCTGCCTGTCCTGAGTATTTTTAATTTTTAAAATTAAGATATAATTTACATACAGTAAAATTCACACTTTTAGTTTACAATGTCTTGAGTTTTGATAAATGCATATAGTCATGTAACCCCCACCACAATCTATTTCCAGGACACTTCCATTATCCCCCCCAAATTCCCTTATGTCCTACCCCATCCACCTACAACCATGGACTTGATTTTTGTCCCTGTAGTTTTGACACTTCCAGAATGTCGTATAAATGGAATCACACATTATGCCACCTGTTGAGTCTAGCTTCTTTCACTTAGTATAATGCATTTGAGATTCATCCATGTTGTTGCATGTATCAATAGTTCATTTTTTCTTCTTTGCGGAGTGATATTCCACTGTATGAATATACCATAATTTGTTTATTCATTCCCTGGTTGAAGGACATATGGGTTGTTTCTAGTTTTTGGCAATTATGAATAAAGCTGCTATAAACATTCATGTGTAAATTTTTGTGTGAACATAAGTTTTCATGTCATCTGCATAAATACCTAGAAGTGGGATGCTGGGTTGTATGGTGTGTCTGTGTTTAACTTTATAAGAGACTGGTAAACTGTTTTCCAAAGTGGCTGTATTGTTTTCGCACTCCTGCCAGGACCGTGTGAGAGTTCCAGTTGCTCCTAGAGCTTATTTTTAATGATGGTAATAACTAACATTTCCTACTCCTTACTATGTGCCAACCACCATGCTCGCATGTTACACGTATTGTCTCTTTAAATTCACACAGGAATTCTGAGGTTAAAGGTTATTATCCTTATCCCCATTTAAAAGATGAGGAAATGGAGATCTAGTTTAACAAACAAACAAACAAACAAACAAAAAGCTTCCCCAAGGTCCTATAGCTAAATCTTCCTGCCATTCATTCACTTACTCAATAAATTTATTGAACACCTCTTCCTGTTGGTGACAGGTGCTTGGCTAGGTGTTGGGAATTCAGCAATGAATGAAATACACCAAGTGCCTGCCTCCATGGAGCTGTTTTCCATGTATGAAAAGGATATTCATCAAACTTAAAGTCAGCTGATTAAGAAAATATATAAAAAATGAGGATATTCATATAAATATAATTATGATAGGTCCAATAAAAACAAAAAAAACATGTTGAGAGACTATATCGATAGAGTGTTCAGATGGGATTTGGTGATCAGAAAAGCTTCGAGGAAGTGATTTTTAAGCTGAAGCAAAGGGTAGGAAATAAAGATAGGGATGACAGACCAAAGGAACAGTATATGCAAAAGCCATGAAGATGCAAGAAATTGACCAGGGTGATGGGACTTCCAAAGCCAAGGGGGCAGTGAAACAAGAGGAGCCTGAAGAAACAGGCAGGGACAGATGTCGAAGGATCTTGAAGTTCATGTTAAGGAATGGGAAACCTTCGAAGGATTGTAAGCAGAGGAGAGATGTAACCATGTTTGCTATACCTGTCATTAGCCCTAGTCTCTCCATCTTTGTTTCTCTGCTTCTGAGCTGCCTGTATTGTGGTTGGAAAGTCATGAAACCAGGGTGACCATAGCCAGTACAAATTCATGCTGTCTGATTTCCACTGACTGTCCTTTTACGAATCCACTGGCAATTCTCAACTGCATTCTCCCATGACCCCAAGTCTTTCCCTACTTTGAAGCTCTCAACTACATGATAACCCTTTTCCTTTTTTGCAGATAAGCTACTAATAATGAATTTAAGTTTAAGAGAGTTACATGGTGCAAAAAGTATAGGAAGTTAAAAGAGCAGAGGTACAGGTGGACACTAGGTTTAAAGAAGCTGTGTTAGGATAACTAGTAACAGGCTAGACTGATTTGTTTATGATAAGCAAAAGAGGGAAGGAGGAAACCTGGAAAGACAGATTATATAGCTTTAAGATAAATAAGATGTGGAAGCTTATGAATATGAGACATTTGGGTATGAAAATAAGGGGTATGTGATATTCTCATGAATGAGCTGAGCTTTTAAAAAAATTTTCCTGTAGTGCTGTGAGATGAGGTACAACCGATGACAAAGTATCACAGAAAATATTTTCTACCTTGAAACTTCACCATATGAGGCAGAAATTCAATCTCTAAAGGATGGATTGGAAATGGAGTACAACAGGCTAGAAGGGAGTTGTGTGGCGCATCTCTGAGGAAACATCAGAATAAGATGGAAAGATAACAGTAACCCCCAAATGAGGATTTTCATAATAATTCTTATGGTGCCAAAAAATGCTTTAAGTAGATAGGATGGAAATATTAAATAATTTTAAAACAGCCTTTGTTAATGAAATCCAGTGAGGTCCCTAAATTTCATGTGCCTCTGTCAATTTAGTGTGAATACCTCTGTTAAAAGGAGTCTCAAATGTCCTTGGTTATATTGTGGTTTTGGTGTTGGACTGCAGAGGTAGCTGCAATATAATATAGACACTGAACAAAGTATGTTCTTTTATAAAATCAAGACAGAGTCTTTAATCCACTTAAGCTTTCCTCTCTGTAACAACCTTTTCTTAAATAGCTGACTTCTGATGAAACTTTTTGAAAAAAAAAAAAAATTCAGGATGTCTGAATTACCTCTTCTGTACCCACTAAATGCCAGCTGCATAGCACCTTCCCCAAACATTGATACAACCCCTACCGTTCTCAAGGACAATCACTTTTAGATCCTATTGTCACTATGGGTGGCACAAGCTCCCAAGCCAACATGTACTAGAGGAATGTAGTTTAATCTCTACATGAAATCTTGCTCAAAATGGTGCTTCTTTATGGATTGTTTTTAGTATATGGCTTTTCACGACGAGTGGTTCTTTCGGTGTCCTTCATTCCTGAATTTCCATCCTACATCCCGGACACTGGCATTTATTCTTGACTGACATTGAGATGGTTCTGA